CGCTCACAGCCGGGAAGGGAATTTTCTAAATCACATTTTTATTAGGTGTCTAATTGACTCATCATCCCTGCCCCCCCTCGGTGCACAAACATTTGCTCTACCCTGAAATGTGAGATGAGCAAGGCTGGCGAGAAATGCTTTCTGAATATAGCTGGGGAGAGAGAGAGAGAGAAAGAGAGAGAGAGAGGGTTGAGCAGGGTAAGGAAGGAGCAAATTCATGCCATTTTTTAAAACAAGATCGTAAAAGACTGTAAAAAAAAAAAAAATCCCCATATAAAAAATAACAACAACAACAGAAAGAGGTTGTGGTTTCACAAGCCAGTTTTCATTTCTGGAAGTTGATGACACCCTGGATTGCTGTTGTTTTTTTAGACCTCTTTCAATTTTTTTTTTTAGGATGGTTTGTCTGTAGTGTGGGTATGTGTGGGTAGAGAGCTGGGAAATATGCAGAGGGAAAGAAAAAGCTAAAAATGGGCAGGAACAGGCTGGCTGCATATGCTTTCCCCCCCACACCATATATAAAAAAAATAATTAAGGAAGATCTTGAAGGTGTTAAAGATTTAAGGTTTGTGGGGATGGAGCACAGGCAAAGGAGGGTGATCCTGAAGTCCACATCTAATCTAGGATATTTTGTGCTTCATTGAGCACCATGCTCCCCTTCACTGCAGGAGGGCTGTGTCTCAGTTTGCAAAATAATCATCCAAACTTCTGATTTACGTCCCTTGGAAGCTGCCCTGCTCTGCAGGGAGGAGGAGGAATGCAGCCAGGCTGTCCCAGGGAGCTGGATGGTGTGGTGGTCTTGCAGGTCTTGTATTGGTGCCACCAGGAAATTGGGTTCTTTTTGCTGTCCAGTTTGGTGTCACATCTCATTTTGGCATTTTTGCTTAGAAAACAGTCTCGTTCTTCAGAAATATTTCTCTTTTCTTTCTTAATTTTTTATTTCTTCAAGCTGAGCCCCACTATCTCCACAGGAACTGGAGAGCTGGCTCAGCTGATCCCTGAGTGGGACAGAGGGAAGGTGGGATCTGAGGGCCAAGGTTCATTCTTTGCCCATTGCTCCTTTCTAATAAAATAAAGTTTTACTTGAAAAGTTCAGACTAATTCTCTTCTGTTGTTTTTCTCAGCTGGAAGCTTCCCTTTAAAACATTAATATCCACATTATTTTTTTTCCCCTGGCAGGTTAATTAATACTTGATTCATCACCTCAAAAGCTAATGGGTATTTATCCAGATCGTGAAGGAAATTAATGCCTGCTATAAATAACTGTGATAACTGACAACCCACCTTTACTTACACTCCTTCTTCTTCAGGAAACAAACTCTGCTGGGCTCTAGAGGAGTTAATCCTGACCTATTCCCAGGGTTGGACTCAGTGTTTTCCTACTTGAGCTTTACTTTGTAAACATGGTGCTTTTTTTTTATGGGGAAAAATGTCAGCTTTTGTGGAGAGAGACCCAGACAACTCAGCATAATCACTCCAGCCTGGGTCAGCAAAGGCCAGTGCAGACTGTGGGTGTTTTCGTGGGCTGGGAAGGCTCTGGCTCTCTGTGAAATATTAGTTTTGGCTATGGGAGAGCCCTTTCCAAGTTCTTGTCTGCTTCCAATAAATGGTGTTTAGTGCCTTTGTCTGCAGCTCCCCAGCTATTGTCATCGATGACCTTAATTAGGAACACACCAGAAATCATGTCGAGTCTGTCACTCACACACACACACAATTAGAAAGTCATTATTTACTTTTCCTGTTAACTCACATGTTCCTCCTGGGTGCTGCTCTGCACCCTGGGCAGTCCTCGTTATCCACGGAGGCTTCAAGGGCAGGAATAACTGGATGGGTGCTGGGAAGCTGGATTGGCACAGAGGTGGCACGAGGGGTGAAGTGGATGCTGGAGGCCACCCAGAGCATGACCTGGTGTGATGTGGTGCCTCTGCTTTTCCCACTGCTCAGAGCTGGGTTTGCACCAGGTCCTGCATCTCTGCTGTAGGTCTGATGCTGCTCTGGTGGCTCTGGGGGTGGCCAAGAGTTCTGTGTGCTGCAAAATCCTGCTGACAGCGTTCCCAGGCTCCTGCCCTCGCTGCAGGAAAACCCGGGGGACAGCCTGGCCAGGGCTCTGCAGGGTGGGCTCTGTCACTGCAGCAATCACACTGCTTTTGAGGCAGGATAAGAGGAACTGAAAGAGCTCGTCTGTCCCGTATGACTCCGTCTTTGGTTTTCCCCATAAGTGAGGCCATTTGTGAGGCTGCCTCTAGGAAGCAGCAGCCTCTGGAATCACCCAGTTGTGTTACAGCCTCATCTTTTGGACATTTCCCCATCCCTCATGAAAGCATCAAGCACAAAGGAGCAGCCAGGCAATTTTTATGATTGTTTTAAAAATCCACGCTGCTCTAGAGAGGATGAACTTACTTCTTTTTTTTTTTTTCCCTTTTTTTCCGGGGACATTGGCTCATCAATTTTTAATTCTTGAGCTTGGCAGCACTGGTTGAATTAGAAAGAGAACAACTGATTTTAATGAGCATAAGATTAATGCAGATGAACTTGGCTGGAACCGCGATCCGGCTGAGGGGAGATGATTGTCTCACTTCACCTGCCAGCTCCCTCCTCGGTGGGCTGTTCTGTCCCCAGCATTAGTGGAGCAGAGCGTGTTCTCATCACAGGTCTTCACCTGCAGGAGAGATGCTCATTAACCAGCCTGGTTCACACAGGATATTTTGCACATCAACCCTTGGCAGCTGCTCTGGACCTTCCACAGTCCTGCAAGGTGGTGAGGAATGAGGAGGGTGAGGATGGATGTGCACTGGTGAAGGAAAAACCTCCCCTGACTCTGGTACCCACTGGATGGGAAGGAGAAGACTTTTGGCTGCTGCATGAGGCCACCACAGCTCCAAGAAAGCTCATGATCTACTCCTGTTGCCTATCTCTTGGTGGAGAGCTGTTGTTTTATTTATGGGTCATATAAATAATATAAATATGATATGAGAGAGCCCAGAACACCCCTCCCTGGGCAGAGCTCTCCCACTGCCCCACACAACCCCTGAGCTCAATGACTTGCTTTCCTACACACCTGAAATTACATATTTGCATAGTGAGTGGTTTTATTACCCAGGAAAGATGGGGGAGGCTGAGCTGAACTAATTTTATTTGATTCTGTGGGCATCTGGCAGTTTTATATCTCTGTTTTATTTTTTTATGTGCTTTGGTCAGGTGGTGCTTACAGAGATCACATCGCTGCAGGTTTAGCCAGCTTGGGATTGTCATAATTAGTCTCCCAGGAGAGCATCAGGGAACTGTGGAGGAAAAGGCCAGACCAGCAGCTGGTGAGATCACCCAGTGACTTGTGTCCAGCTTTACAGGGACCTCCTGCCTGACCCACGACATCATGACCATGGATCAGCCACAGGATTGTGTTCTGCTTCAACATCCCCCCCCAGAGGGAAAGGAGGAGCCAGGCAAGGTGTATTAGCAGCCCCAACCCAAGGGCTTTGTGGTGCCTGCATGACCCTTTGCATCCCAGAGGAATAAAAGATGGGACAGAGCAGTGGGACTGTGGAGGCAGGTGGAGAGGACGGTGCTGTGAGTCTGTTTTGCAGCTGCAGTTTTGCAGATCTCAGGGGTCTAGATGGGAAATCTGTGAGGGCAAAGGGGTGACAGGGCTAAAAGGAATCCTACACCCCATCTGGGTTTGTGCCACCTCCAGCTCTGCAGGAGCTGTGGTGTCAGAACTGGGAAGATCCATCCCAGAGTCCAGCAGTTCCTTCTGGGGCTTCTGGAGACCTAATTCCCAAACAGCAGCTTCCCTTCTGTGCTCACAGCCCTTTCCACTGGGCCAAGAGATGACCAGTGCTGGGGGCAGCACTCACCAGGAGTCCTGGCTATGATGCCTTGGGCTTCACCCTTGTCTACCCCAAAAATGCCTGGGCAAGGGGGGCAGGGCTTGGCCAGGATGGAACGTGGCAGCTCCATGGGTGCATGATATGATCCCCCTCCAGTGCCTGGAAGATTCAGGGGTCTGAAATCATCCCACCCCAAACCCACAGGTTTTTCCTCCTCAGTGTTACCCACTCACTGTTGCCCCCAGCCTGGCCAGGGTCAGTGCTGTGCTGCTGACCTGGCCAGGTGGAGATGCCAAGGCAAGTCATTTTTTTTTGGCTTTTTCACATTTTCAGCTTGTTAACAACCGTTGTTCCCTCCACATCTGCCAGCTCAGGAGAGAACCACTGCTTTAGCTCTGTGTCGCCAGGGAGAGCTTAAACATCGTCATTAAAAAATTCCTGCCTTGCATCATCTCCTCAGACATGCAGGAAGAAACCTTTGCAATTAGATTCCCTGTGCACTGGCAGGAGGGCAGGAGTTCTTCCTTTTTTCCCCTTTCTGTGATGATGATGTTCTGTGATTTTAAGGCAGCAGGGAAAAATACAAAAAATAAAAAAAAATAAAAAAGAAGCCTGTTTGATTTTCCTCATTATGTTAAGCCTGGTTTTACTTTCTGATTGCCAAAGCATGATAAATGGAACAAAGATTACCTAGAGATTTTCAAAGATTTGCTTTCAATTTGATTTTTCCTGAGCCTCATTAAGCCTGCAGGTTTTATCTACACTTTGTTCTTAACAGTGGAGTGACATGACCACATATTAATAGCCATATTTTTTTCCGTTGAAATTAAAACCAGATAGAGGCTTCTCATGCTTTGCTTTCAAATCCTATTTTAAAAAATATTGATCATGTGTGTGTTGTTTTCCTTTCCCTCTGACACTGCTGGCTCTGTAAAGGACATTTGCCAGGGAAATGCTTTCAGTCCTGGATCCCTGGGCATTACTGGGTGCAGTTTTGTGGATTAAGGAACATATTTTGGAAGGTATAATGTAAAGATAAAAGAAAAACGTGGCTTTCAACAGAGAGGCAGACAAGAAAAATAAGATATTAAAGCAGGAGCTCTACAGTCAGGGGGTACAGAGGAGCTTAGACAAGATAAGATAATCTATGATGTGCCCACGTGCATCTTTCAGGAGAAAAATGCCATTGGAAGAGCTCATCCTCCATGATTTTAGGAGAAACTCGTGGCTGAGAGTCCTGTGTGCTGCTGTCAGGAGAAGTTTGGAAAAGGGTGGCAGGGGCTGGGCATGAAGGACAATGTGGGACACACCCACACAAAGCCACCCTGACATTCCTGATGGTGTTCCTTCTGCCGGAGCCGGGAGAACAGACCCACCTCCTGTGTTTTCCAGGTGTGCATCTTCCTCTTTCCGTGCCCATCCCTGAGCCCACAGAGGTTTGGGGGCAGCTTGAAGATGTGATGAAAATGTGTCCTTGTACCTGGTGTGGGAAACACCTTCCTCATCTGTCTGGGGACGGTGTGACAGCGCAGGAGCTGGCTGTGTCCTCCGAGTCCCTGGGGAAGGGGCTGGAGATAAAAAACACAAGAAAAGTTGCTCTTTAATGCCCTGCCTTGTTATAGGAATGGGAAACACGGGTGCACAGAGTGGGGTGAGGGCAGACTGTCCTTAGGGTGCCACTACACCAACCCCAGGGAAGCCCTTTATTCCGACACCAGCCCAGATCGGTCTCCAAGACTCAAGGTGCTTCTTGTGATGTCCTTGCTTCAGGCATGATCCCAGGGGCTCTGCTTGAACTGGAAAGCAGCTCTTTTGGAAAGGTTTTAGGTACTCAACAAGCTCTAATAATAATAATAATAATAATAATAATGAACTGCCTTTCTATTTATAAATGAGAGCAACATCGAGGAGCTCGGCTCATGTGGCCACCACGGCCCTGTTGCTCCCTCACCCTCTGCCATGGAGCTGTTCATCTCACAGCCCTGCCAGAGCCCCATCCTGCAAGGGAAAGGGCATTTCCCAGGGTTCTTTCCTTTGGATACACACACATGGTTTTTCTCCTCTTGTTTATAAGGGAATGTTTTCTTTTTAAAAACAGGGATTGTTTTTGTAGCAGCTCCTGCCCTGCTTCGTAAACCAAACATTTCCCAGGCACTCCGTGTCTCAGACGATGTTATGGTTACTGGAATGCCAGTGGGAATGTCCAAAATGTATTTCTTGGTGGAGCCTGGGGATTTTGTGCTGCCTGGCTCCAGATGTGACTCCGATGGGTCCTTCTGGCCGAGCCAGCTGGACGTGGCCAGTGTTGGGGCTCAGCTGGAGAAGGATTTGTGTTTATGTGCTGTAGCCCAAGGCCAGCTCTCACCACCCTGCAGCAGGGGAGCACCCCCTCTGCTTCCACTGGGACAGCTCAGGCTGAGGCTCAGGGCAGCATAAAGCTGCCTTTACTGGTTCCAGTGTGGCAGGAACTGGACATGTGCTGCTGGTTCTGATTCTACCCAGTGTTGCCTCTGCTCCCCTTCCCACAGTTTTGGACTCTGTACTTGCACTTCTGGGAGAGGCTGAAGAGAGTTTTCCCTCTGGACACCCTCTCACTATCTCTGCTAGATACAGGATGCCAGATTTGATTAAAATGCTCTGATCTGTTCTGACAAATCCTCTGTTCCTAAGTAGATAATAACCAGAAAATCTTCCTAAATAAATCCTGGGTTCGGATCTGTGCCCACACTCGTTTTTCTTCTCGTATCAATTAAATGCTTCCCCTTACCCTGAACTGGGAGCATCCTCAGCCCCTTGAAGGAGAAAGGAGGCACAGACTTATGGCTGCTGAAGGACAGGGTGGAGTGTTAAGACTGTAAAAAAAGAGAGTCTGATTTGGCAGCACTGAGGCACAGGTGACCAGAAACACCTTGGCTGAGCAGGGATTAAAGGTTGCAGATGTCTGTCATCCCAAACTGCAGAGAAAAGTGCTGGGCTTCCTTTCCATCATACAGAATCATGGAATGGTTTGGGTTGGAAGGGACCTTAAGGGTCATCTAGTTCCAAGCCCCCTGGCATGGCCATGCCAGTTCAGTGAAGGTGGCACCTGGAGGAGAGAAAGGAATATATTGGAATAACACCTGTTTACTTTTTCTCTCTCTTTCTTCAGTATCATCAATATACTTGATCCTGAGGTGTCCCTTTGGCAAAGGGGAGTCCCGGGAACCATTTGCTTCCAAACCTGGACCAGGTCTTTGCAGCCACGTCCACATCAGCCATGATCCAGCTTTTTGACCTCTCCTTCCATCCGTGAACCCTCGGCGTGGATCCAACGCCTTTGGACGGCAGCGCTGAGCTGCAGAACAAGGGATCCGGCTCGTAAAATGTGAGAAAAAAAAAAACCAAAAAACCAACAAAACAACCCCCAAAACAACCCTAGAGATGCAAATCCGTGGGGTGGCCGGTTTTTGGGAAGGGATGCAGGGATGCTCGGGGCGTGCACCGCCCGGTGTCACCAGGAGGTGGCACAGCTCGAGCGGGGATGTCGCGCCGGGTCCCGCATCCCGGGCTGGTCCCGCATCCCGGGCTGGACCCGCATCCCGGGCTGGACCCGCATCCCGGCACCCCCCAAAAAGCGAGCGGCGGGATTCGTCGGGAAAGAGGAGAAAAGGGTCTCTGGTCTCCTTTCTCGGAAAGCCATTGTGCAAAACCCGCACGCACGGAAAACAAACGGACAAAAAAAAAAAAAAAAAAAAAAAAGGCACCAACTCCGCGTTTGATTTGGAGAGAAGGCAAAAATGAGCCCTGCTTTGAGAGCACGCAGCTGTTGGGACACCCACTGCCTGTGTCCCCGTGGCCTTCCCGCACGAGCAGAGCCTCCACTGACTCCTGATCCTCCCCGGTGCCCTCATTCCCTGCTCCAAATCCCAGCGGTCTGTTCCTTGAGGGAACTCCATTCGTGGCTTGTAGCACATCAACAGCCAGCAGCTCGCAGAGGTTTGTCCTGCAAAAGCAGATCCAGCAGCAGCACAACACCGGGAGGGCTCCGTGGAGCAGAGAGGACAAGGTGTCCTGTGGCCTCTGAGAATCCCATCCACAGGTCTCCATCTCCAGATTCCTACATGGGATCAAAAGCATTTTCCCCACAGGACATGTTTAATCCCTGCTCTGTGGGCACCTGAGTCTGAGGTGAGACACCTGGAAATGGCAAATCAGCATTGTTTTCCTCAACAATGGCAATTTTCCTTTCCTAGAAAAGGCAGAACAGAGGCTGCAGAAGAAGGAGATCAGCCATCAACAATTGGACTTGGTGATCTCAGAGGCCTTTTCCAGCCTTAATGATTCTATGATTGCAGAGCAGAAGTGTTTGTTTTGAATGAAGCATTTGACCTGCAGCCCTCCTGCTGGAAACATTGCACTTCAAGAAAGTTATGGCCTATATTTCACTTGAAATAAAAAATATTTTGAAGTGCATTGCTATTGTTGGTAAAACAGAATCCCAGAATGGTTTGGGTTGGAAAGGATGTTAAGGATCATCTTGTTCCAACCCCTGCCATGGGCAGGGACACCTTCCACTAGATCAGGCAGAGCCACATCCAGCCTGGCCTTGGCCACTTGGCCAACATGGACCAGGCCACTTAGCCCACACCCAGCTTGTAACAAAAGAAAAAAAGTGATTTCTTCCCAATAAATAAATTTTTATTTCCTGAGAAATAAATTTCTTCCCAGTTTTTCCTTTATGGGTTCATGTGTCCAAAGTTAACTGAAATAGTTCACAGTGAGTTAATGGAGTCCTGAGAGAACTGCAACCCAGCACCTCCTTTGGCTGCTTTTTGGGGTCCTTTAGGAGGACAGGACAAGTGACAAGTGACCACTGTCCCTTCCCAAGCTGCTGCCCGGCTCAGGGGTCCCTAAGCTGGAAGGGTTTAGCAGCTCCCCAGGGGTGCCTTTTCCTTGCATGGGTTTCTCCAGGTGCTTTTTAAAGCCAGCTCAACTTTTAGCTTTCCTCGTGGGTGCAGTAACTTCATGTCCTGCCCTCCCACCTCAGGCTGGAGGGGTTGGTGCAGGACACCCCTGTGAAGGTGCCCAGGGGGACACGGAGCTGCTGCTCTCCAACCCTCCCACTCACAGCCCCCATCTGTTCTCCCTGTACTTGCTGCAGCATCTTCCAGGAAAGCTCCAGGACAGGGACAGATGTTCTGCAAATGCAAGAAATCAGATGTAGGGGATGTTGTGCAATAATTTACTCACCGGAGCCCGTTTTTCCTTCTCAGTCCCTCGTGAGAGTCAATCACAGATCCCCCTGTGAAATGTGGTGTAGGCCTGTGACATGAGGTTGGCAGGAGGCTTCTCTCCTGTCTTCAGAGGGAAACAAACAGCAGTTTCAAGGCCAGTTATTTTTCAAATTAAAGCAAAAAAAAAAAAACCACCACCACCAACAAACCAACAAAAAAATCCCCTCTTACTTCTTTCTGTTGTTCTTTCTGAATTCCTACTTAGCATCCTGAGAACCCTTTAGAGGATTTGCATGTAGAACAAGGAATGAATTTCTCACAATGAGGCCAAAGAAAACTGAGATCTGTGGGTGGAGGAAGCTGCAGCCCGTGCCAGCAGCCAGTGCCAGCAAGGAGGTGTCCTCAGCTGCCCAAGGTGAGGCTGAGCACTGCCTCAAATCCTCCCCTCATCCTGGGGCACTATGATTAGTTAATTAATTAAGATAAGATAGATAAATAGATGGATGGATGGATACATACATAGATGGATGGATAGATAGATAGAGGGATAGAGAAATAGATAGAGGGATAGATAGATAGAGGAATAGACAGATGGATAGATAGATAGATAGATAGATAGATAGATAGATAGATAGATAGATAGATAGATAGAATGAAAGAAGTTGCCCAAAGCAAGGGCCAGGCTCCAAGAGCTGCCTATTTACAGGCATTATAATTTCCTGTAGCTGCATCCATTTACCTGTCCATAAAACACCATCTGATGCCTGTGCCAGGATGAAGATGCACAGGAAAAAAATCAAACCCCTCCCTTTTGCCTAGAACACGAGTTCATGAACTTCTGTTATCATTCAGGCCTGCTCTAATTGAAACATCATGTCTTACACAACCATCTCCTTCTCTGTCCCCTTCTTTCACTCTTTTAAAAACCATTTCCTGCTTTTTTCCAGCTGGACACGCTATCCCTCTTCCTGCTTTGAAGCAAATATTTTGTTGGGTTTGGCTGCTGTCACAGCCACACATCGTCTTCTGCCTGATATTTTATCCATCTGCTGCTGAGGAGAATTATTGTGAGCTGAAAAGTCTCAAAAGGGTTCTGAGGTGCTGAGTCGAATCAGGAAGTACCAGTGCAAGAGAAGAAAAACCTCCTCTCTCAGCTTCCCCGTGCACAGTAATTCAGGCTGAAAGGCCTTAAAAATTAAATACTGGGTGATGCTTGTTACAACACCCTGGTGCTCCAGTGCTGTGCTGGGTCCCACTGGAGGAGCTGATACACCCTGCTCACCCCTCCACGTGTGGAGATGGGATCCAACTCTGACTTCCTCTTCTGTCTCAAGCGAATGGAAGAAGAGAGTTGGGTTCCTGTGCTGCCGAGGTTGCCAGCACCTGCCTTGCCTCATTTCTTCTGCTTGAAGAACATCTGGCTCTGCTCTGGGACAGCCACGCATGGCCAGTGGAGCTGTGTGCCCTGTGATGAAGCCTCTTGAAGCCTGGCTGGAGACACTCATTGCCATCCTGGCAGGGGACACTCCGTATTCATGGTGCCTTTCCTTCCAGAACACACACAAATAACTTTCTCTTTGATGCTGGTCCTGTCTCCTGTTTTTTCTTTTCCCCCTGGGTTGCTCTGTAAAAAAAAGGATGTTTTTTTGTCCAGACAAGCTCCAAGATCTGGAGGTGCCTACCCAGAGGAGGGGCTTCCCACTGCTGCTGGGAAGGGGGTACAGGAGGGGCTGTGAGGAGCTGCTCAGGGCTGGGGGATGTTTCCTTCACCCCACAGGGTGTCTGCAGGCAGGGCACCATCTCACAGCCCTGCTCTGGGCTTCCTCTGCAGGACAGCAGCCCTTTGCTTGTCATCTCTCAGCTGTACCCTCCCCCCACCCTGCAGAAGTTTGACTCACAGAAGTTGTGTCACCGCTTTCCTTGGAAGTTCCTTGGAATTCTCAGAAATACCACTTTTTTTTGCTGGTTTTGCTTACTTGCACTTAAAGGGGAGTTGCTTAATTAGCCTTTGAACTAGACAATGTCCATCTCTATCACAGTTTTGAGGAGACCTGGAAAGCCATTCCTGTCCATTCCTAGGGACTATCTTTCAACTTCAAGTACTGCTTTGCTCCCCAAATCTTGGGGTGACACACTGTCCCCAAGCTCCCAAATGTTGAGCACACATGTGCCTTGCTCCCCTGGTCCCTAGCACTCAAAAACTACTATCTGGCCTTGTTTTTCTCAGTAACCTGTAAGGTTTGGGCTGCTCCTTGCTGTCAGGATGCCTGTTTGGGATTTGGTGCCTGGGGATCAGAGCTGGAGGCAGCTGGTGAATGGCCCTTTGTGCTCTTCGTCGCTTTGCTGCATAAAGGGGGCATTATTCCATCTATTAAATAAGAATCTTCCTGTTAATAAGATCAAGTTATTGCCTGAGTTACTGTGGGGAACATGTGGCATCTGCAGCAGGAGCTGCCTCACCCACTCTGTGCTGGATGATGGATACACTCTCTGGCACGGCCGCTCTGCTCCGGGTTCAGCGGCAAAGGGCACGGGGGGCTCTTGCTCTGCTGCCAAACAAGGGCAATAACCAGGCTGGCAGGGCAGTTCTGGGGCTGCTTCTGTGCTGGAGGTGACACTGTCAGCCCCTGCAATCCCAGAGCAGGTAGAGCAACCACAGCTGCTGGGGATGATTTTCCTCCTGCAGCCCTTCAGCTCCGGGCAGGGGAAGGGAGAGGGGTGGAACTCCAAAGGGAGTATTCAATAAGTCAGTTCATTTCCAGGAAATCTCTCTCTTGTTCTTTTTTCTTTTTTTTTGTTTCTTTTTTTTTTTTTTCTTTCCAATGGAAAAGCTAAGTCCTTGTGAACTTTTTGAGAACTTTTGTTCATTCCCCGTTGCCAGCTAAGCTCTGCTTTGTGCTGGTGACAGAACCCCTTTCTCCAAGCACTGGCCATGGGCCAGGACATGGAAATCTCCAGTGAGAGCTGGCAGTGCCACAAGCCCTGTCCCCCTTCCCTCCAGGCTGATGCAAAACCCCAGCTCC